CGCTCTTATGACTTCCACATTAAGCTGCCTGAGCCCAGCCTTTCAGCCCAGCTCCGATCAGCTGTCACTACAACTAACGGGTGCGGGTCTCGTTCGCACTAACACTGCACGCGGCTCTGGCCGTGCGAAAGGGCCTGGAAGTGACAGTGACACGAGGGTCGCTCACTTCACACTCCTAGATGAGCTCCGGGCCCCACTGACGTCAATGGCCAAACTCCGGGGGGGTAAAGTGGTTTTAGTGTTAAGGAGACTCGCCCCCCCCCCGACCAAGGGCCAATCGCTGCTCTCCCCCCCAGACCAGGCGCAGTGCAGTGACTGGGTCACGGGCGTTACCCGGGGGTCGGCCCAGGAGCTGGACTCGGATTTCAGGCGGAAATCACTCACCGGCTCAATCGGGGAGATAACGGTTCTACCCCGCGGCGGGCACGTGCCCGTGTCCCGGGGGGGGGGGTGCCCGCGCTGCGCTCCGCCCCACACAGCCCGGGAGAAACGAGCCGGAGCTGGCGCCTGCTCTGCTCTGTGGGGCGCGGGGCCGCTCCGAACCGCTCTGAACTTCCCGCCTTCCGCGCGCTGACAGACACTTCCGGCTGCTTAGACCCCGCCCCTTCCGGCTTCGGGCCCCTCCCGGCTTCGCCCCCCGCTCCTCCCTGAGCCAGCCCCGCCCCCTCAGCACAAGCTCGGAGGTTCCAGAGCCCCGCCCACTGCCTGAGTCAGCTGACCCGTGACCCAGACGGGGCGCTGTGATTGGCTGCCAGGGAGGGTCACTGGGGTCATAGACCAGCATGGCGGAGCGCAGCGTGGAGCCTGGTGAGCTGGGCGGGCGCGGGCTGTGCGAGCCGAGCCGAGCCCTATCTGGGCTGAGCTGGGCGGGAGCAGGCCGGGGGGCCGAGGCAAGGTGAGGCCAGGCCTATCCGGGCTGAGCCGGGCCGGGCGGGCTGATCCCGGGGAAGCGGCCCCAGCCGCACTAATGAAGAGCTAAGGGAAGTGGCTGGTGCTGGTTTAATGGGCTCCGAGGTCCGGCTCCTGCTCCGCGGGGGTGTCTCTGCTGGGGGGGGGCACAAGGTCTCTCCAGCTCCCTGCTGCTCACGCAGCCTGTGGCCACCGCTGCCCCACAGCTGCCCAGCTACCGGCTGCAGGTACACAGGGCCTGGCATGTATGAGATCTTGGCGTTAGGCTGGGGAGGGGTAGAAGATCTGGGAAGGGTCTTCTCAAGTAAAGAGAACACGGTCTAAAACAGTGACCCTCCGCCTGAGGTTTGGGAGCCGCAAGTGTCTCTATAATGTGTCTCCTGCGGTTCTTTGCAGCCCATGCTATTAAAACATTGTGTAACCTAATTATTAACCAATCAGGATGCGTTTACTATGTTATTAACCAGTTGATAAAATAACACTTGGTCAGTCATTTTGCTGTGAAAATATATAAAATAGTAAATGGAAATAATGAATTCAGACTACTGTGGCTCTTCTGGGTAATGTTGATTGTCAATTTGGCTCCTGAATCATTGAGGTCTTAATATCACTGGTCTAAAAATAGCATTTCAGTTTCAGAATTAGAATCAGTTAGTGGTGCTTTTTGCCACAGAAAGTAGGTTATGTAGTGGAAGAGTGAGATGTGCCTAAAGCAATGATGAGTGAAGTATAGTCTGACCTGGTATTGCCAAGACTTTGTCTTGGTTCTGACCAGGGTGTGATAATGTAATCTTCTCTCTGAGCGGATTCTGGTTACATTACTCTAGAATTAACTATTCTTTCTTTGGACACTAAATATTTTTATACATCCTTTTAAACCGATTGAATTATGTATCTAAGCAGCCATCCTGGCAGGAGCTATTCGTGAGGGAAAATGAGGAAGCCAGTGTTTTGCTTCTTATATAAAGCTTTACTCAAAAAATGAGTTAGTGCAATCAGTTGTGTTGGGACCACTGCATCTTGACTTATTTCTGAGGATATAGTGAAAGCAGGTTACTTTCCTAAGTTCCCTCTTTTTCTTATAATGAGGGTGACCTATTGAATCTTGTTCTTCCATTTTATTTACATTTTTATAAAATATGCAAACTTGGTTAAATTGTAATTGAGTAAATTATGCAATCACTATTAATGAGGCCTTTTTAAACTATGTTCTAATTCAGCTTTCATTTTTTTCCAGGTCTGGCGAACAGTTTCATGTTCAGATGTCTGTTCACATGGAGCACAATGGAATAATTGGAGCATCAAATCCAACACAGTATCTTTGTAAGACTTGGGTGGGGATTTTAGAGCAATACTGAATGCTTAAAGGATGTAATCAATTGAGTAAAGCCTGGCTCATT